ATGAGCTAGAGACTTGAAATTTCAAACTTAGCTCAAAAGCCGATGACAATGTAAAATGAGTATTTCCTACATGAAAAAGGATACCTCCGCAAAACATTTAGCCGCTAGGAGGTTTTTGGGTCGATTTTTCTTTTTTATTAACCACTAATAAAAGCTTGTCTTTAAAAACTTCTTTTTAAATTACTTGTTATGAATCTTCTACAAGGTCCGAAATTTTGATTTACATTGTTTTTTTTTTTATATAGTAAGCTACATTTTCATAAAAAAAATAAAAATTTTTTAAACAAAGGAAATTAGTCAAAAATTGCTAAAATGTCTCATCCCTATTTACGTTCTCGCCACTGTATATATAAAATAAATTCATTTTCATATGAAAGCCATAACTTTAAAACTAATGAAAATTCCTTAGACTTGTGGCAAAGACAAAGTTATATTTTAATCCGCCAGGTGGCGCTTAAGTCAATATATTCAGAATTAACATCCGATTAAAATAACTATGTATTTTTTGTCTTCCGTTAAACTGTGAAATGTTTACCTTTGTTCTGTATAATAAATTTAGTCACTTATTTTCTAATATATGTAATACGTAGTATTTTCGCAATGACCAACCAAAAACTTCAACCAGGCGCCGCGAAGTTAGCGAGCATTTGCTAGTGTTTTGCATTAAAAAAAAAACACACACACACATTACAACAAATATGCCGAGCCTTTAAGTGCATAGAAAAAATAGGAAAACAAAAAATTCTCACGTTCATGCAATATTTTTATCTTAATATTTTTAATTGAATTCATATTTATGACATTTATATTTGTGTTTACAGATTATTAATAACCGATAATGTTGATTAATGACAAATGTTAAACTACATTTTTTATGCATATTGTCTTTAATAAAAAAAATATTTAATTTTGATTTTATCACGAAGAGAATAACAACAAATATTATTTAAATGTCAAAAGAGACGTTTATTTATTGAAACGAATTAATCGATAGAACTTTTTATGTGTAGATACATACATACATATGTAAACGCTCATAACAGGCATACACCCACCGCCTCCAATGTGCTGCATGAACTGTTAATTGCAGCTCTGTCACGGCTGGTGTGAAAAATCTCAAACGGCATTTTGCCGCACCCCAATACAGCAAGCATGCGAGCGAACGTGCAACAAACGTGCATACATATGTATGTATGTATAGTGATACACATTAACCAACCAACTGTAGATTTGGGAGGGGAGGATGAGGGGAGTGTAACGCCATGTTGCAACAACTCGCCTTGACGCTGTTGACACACATATGCATACTTGTACGTGCAACATGCAGCTCCAAACGAATATAATAAATATAACCAAATAACTTTAATTCAACTGCGCCTCAATTTGCCTAAGTGCTTCGTAACGATCATTGATGAAATTTATTCACGCATAATTTGCATAGATTACAAATGGCAACCAAGCATTAACAATCAGCGATCAGCTGTCAATTGCCTATCGGCCATTTATTTTGTGACTAATCGTTGCTAGAAGTAGATAAAGAATTGTGGATTTTTTTTTTTGATTTTTTGTACCGTGGCGAATTGGTATGCATGATAAGTATGAGTATTTGCAGAAAGAATCGGGTTTTGAACTGTGATTGAGACATACGTATGTATGTATCTGTTTTGATATGTAAGTATATGAATTTTCATTTTTGCATAAATGTTGTATCTTGGCCATACCCCAAATAGTGGACCGTAGCTTAGCCACGGGCGTTTCATTTTTTTATAACTTTACCATTTAAGCTTTGAAATTAACGTTAATATGCCTGTCTAATTCGATTTGAATTAAAATTGGCAGGGGTTAAAATTCACTCGAAAGTGAATTGCAGAACCTGCCTGTAGCAGAATGTGTAGATGTGTGGTTAAAGGTGCATACTACCACTCCCTAGGACCTGAGCTCGATCCCTGGTACGAGCAACATCTAAGTTAGAACTAGTAAGGACATGGCTTCATACCTTTCATAAACATATATAAAGGAGTTATATCGCAAAAATTTGTATCTAAACAATCAGTGGTATAGTAGATATGTACAGCTGTATAACAGCAGCGATCTTGGTGATTTTCTCAGTAGACTTTATTACAAAAGTAGCTAACGAAATTGCCCGGTGTTAGCCGTCCAAATGAAGGAGTTTCAAAGTAAAACCTCATATCTGAACAATCAATTGCATGGAGGCTATAAGTTATAGTGACCCGATTTTTGTGACTGTGATAATAATAATTGATAATGAGTGATAATAGTGCGAAATTTAATATCCCTAGCTACATAAAGGGAGGAGCTAAAAATCTCATATCTGAACAATCGGTTGTATGGTACGGTTCCGGCAAAAATTAACGTTACTCTTAATTTTTTGTTTACGAGAATTGAAATCGGCTTTGGTTTTATCTTAAAAGTTACTTGTTTTTCTGTTAAAAATTTTGAAATCTATAAATACATTTGAACATAAATATGTATGTACTTATTAACAGTGATATCACCATTTTCCTTACCCAACAAATAACTAGTACGAATATGGCAATCGCCAACGACGGTCGTTGTCCTTGGTTTCACGCTTTTCAATTTACAACCCAGGAAATCAACGTAGACTCTAATTGCCTCAGGCATGTTGCTGTTGATTGGCCAGATTTGTTGAATAGCCGAACGAGATGTAAATATGTGCATATGTATGCAATAAGGATGTAAAAAGTATATGTAATTGCCAATCGGTGCAAGCTAGCCAATATGTAACACGACAACAAAAACAAAAACTCCAACTATAAAACTGATAATGTTTATTAAATTTCATGGGCCATTGCTACTGGAACTTCTATGTACATACATACCTACATACATATGTAGGTACGCTTATCCATATACATACATACGTGCACCTCTTCAGTATGTATGTTGGCTTCGTTGGCAGCCAACATTTGTGCTTTTAAATTGGCCATAAGTGAACGTCAAATGAATTTCGATTTTAATTTGCAATTTCCCGCGCGCTGTGAGCGCAAAAAACAACAGTCACACTTTCTTTCACTCATTTGCCCTGCGTAGTAGTTGCGTTTTTATGAGCGCTTTAGAATGTATTTCATTTATTGACAAAAAAAAACAAGTAAAACTTTTTATGACACTTTTTTAATTGTTCCCCATTTGAAGAGTAAAAGTTATGCAATTATTTGCTGGAAATTAATATACAAACATACATATATATACGTATTTTTTCCCGCTCATTTGCAACAGCTGGCCGTTTTGAACAGTTTGCTTGACTTTTAAAATGCTTACATAAAATTCACACCGAAGAAAAAATATTCCTAGCCTACATGAGAGGGTGGTTCTGGAAGTATCCGCCCTGGGAAAGAAAACAAAAAAGTTATTTCGAAAATATCTTTTAGCTGGATACACTTTTCCCAAAGACGTTGAATAGCTTCTATGCCTGCTTTATAGTAAGCACCGCCAAGCTCCTCAAAATCAGGGACCGAGAACGCGTCCCGTTTGGGTTTAGATCTGCACGAGAAGAAAATTTAATGCCAAAAATGTTCCCGCAAAAGAACCTAACGGGAACAGAAGTATTGAGAACAGATATAACGGGAACATAAACAGCTCAAAAATGCAAACGAAATTTTCTGGAACGTTCTCAAAAAGTATATAATGAGTACAAATCTCTCAAGAACGTTTTCAATAAAAACCATAATGGGAATGAAATTTCGCGAACGTTTCCGTTAAGAGCGAAATAAGAACGAAATTATCGAGAACGTTTTCAAGCAGGATGAAATAAAAAGAAAAGTCTGGGGAGCGTTCTGCTAGAGAACAAACCTAGAATAAAAGTTTGAGAACTTAACGTTAAGAATGAGAGGAGCGTCTGCGTGTTGGGATAAAAAATTGTTTCAGTGAGAATCATGATTGTTTAACTATAAGTCAGAGGAAAGCTGAATCATTTCAACTTCGGTGACAGGTAATAAGATCAACGGAAATAAGGTCACCAGGGTGGGAAATACAGTCAATTGACCTTATTTCCGTTGATCTTATTACCTATCACCTTCAACTTCCGGATCGTTTATCGTTAGGCTGATCTCTTCATTTATGGAAAACATTTTCATACTCTGTGCAAGAAAGGTTCGCGTCTTAAGTCGTTCGTTGATTTAATTTGCATAATTATTTTTCAGTTCTTTTTTGATAAATTTTAATACTCAAACATTTCAAACAAATACAGCACTTTCAAAAAAAATGTTGTTCTCGCTTTTATTCTTCGTGTTGAGATAAGATTTGTTCCCGTTTCGTTCTCTATCAAGAAGACTTTAGTTCCCAAATTGTCCGTCGCGAGAAAGTTCCTTAGTCTTTTGTTCCAATTTCGCTCTTTGCAAGAACGTTCCGAGACTTTTGTTCCCATTTTGTTATTCGCAGATTCTAGCTCTTCATTGTTGAAAAACCTCTTATGACCGAACAATTTTTTCAGATTTGGTAGCAATTCGAAGTTCTGCAAACGCAAGAAAAAAAAAAGCCAAATACTCCATGGAAACATCGGACGGAAGCTTTTTAGATGCAGTTTTTTGGTCAATATTCGATGCACATCACCTTTTTAAACGTCTACCTCACGTCTCAAGATAGCAGACATTTTTTGGCGCCGGTCATCCAATACGGATTTTTTGACTTTCTTTCTTCTTGACAGCTCATACGACCTCGCTTAAACTCAGATACCCAATAATAAACCATTGTATCGCAGAACGACGACATATTTTTTCCATATTCATAAACTCACTCAGAGCATTCAACTTGAATAGCTGTTTAAAAAATACCATATAACATAGCATTGTAAAATTTTAGTAATTTAGGATTTTGTAATGTGGTGTGGAAAGTTCACAGTAATGAATTTTTTTTGGACTACTCGTATTTTGCTACTTTTGGGACTGCCCTCGTATATATATGTATGTGTATTTATTAACGTATGCTTTTTTATTCTTTTCTTAAGAGTATCAAGTACTTACCCTCCTGCCGGCTTCGTTATTGTGTAAATTCATTAAGCTGCGAGCCTTGGCCGTGATGCTGTTCCTCCATTTTCCACCATTACCACCGCCAACATCCACACCATCCCCGCCAGCGCCATTGACATTGGCATCTGCCTGCTGATCGTTTGCCATTCCATTGACAGCGCGCTGATTTTTACGTCTACGCTTACGTTTACCGCCGCCAGCATCTATATTGAACACCTTTGTGTTTAGAATTTCACGATTGATTTTCTCCTAGCACCAACAGCAGCATTATATACATATATAAAGTCGATGGTACATAGTTACAAGATGGTCATCAGCATTGGCAACAACACACAAGCCAGCAGCAAGCGGCGACGACATAAACGATGACAACGGCGAGACCACCATCCGTAGCGGCAGCAGTAAGCCAAGTGCCAAAGTGCATTGTAAAACCGGTGAAAAGAAAGAGAAAAAAATGTTCAGTAAAAAAAGGAAAAATTGCATTTAAGGTTGTGTAATGCCAGAAATGTTGGACATAAAAAGGCAATAATAAAATCAATGTAGACAAAGGTAAAATTGAGAATTTATTTCAAAGCGATGACCGGCAAAGTGGCGACAATATGGTACCTATGTAGTCTGGAGATCAAGTATTCTACACAAAATTATGGGAGGAGACATTTTTGCTTAACTTAAAGTGAAAAATACTAAAAATGCATTCAGGGAGCCATTGTTTCTTCGCCGAAGTTTTTCTTAAGCATATTTTTTCGTAAATTTTTTAAGCGTACGTTTTCGCGCACCTTTATTCGTGTCTAGTCATGGTACAATAATTACAGGTATTGTCTTCCCAGAGAGCGCATATTCCGATCTGCCTTATTTGAAAAATATCATTGTTGCCCACACTAAAAGGTTTACTGTAAGGGGAAAGTGATATTTGTATTCACCATATACCATATATGACCTTTTTTTAACAAACCTTCTTGCAGAGAACTTATTTAACTTGCAAAAGCCGAAAAATAAGCATTTGCTTAGTAAACAAAACAAAAATTTTGATTGCTCAATTTATTTCAAGCATTTTCTTTTTTTTTAAATTAGTCATAAAAAATTTATTGAGCGAAAACAAAAAGCAAAGCCACTTAAAAGTAAAAGAATCAACATTGAAATGCGTCAAAATGAAAATTAGGGAGCAAGAATTTCGATGTGAAGCAAACCTCTCTGGGAAGACACAATACCTTTCATAATAAGTGCCATGGGGTCTAGTGACGATATGTTTCTTAAAAAAAAAAGTCAAAAATATTTTTTTTTGATTTATCGAAGTTACTTAGGTTCGGCGGTTCGAATGTTTCTCTCGAATGTTTTCCATGCCTGCGCAACATACACCAGCCAGGCATGATGAGTGACATACATATACTATGTATTGAGGGTAATTTTTGTATAATCACAGAAGACTTTACTTCTTAATTGCCTACTCAGTCCAATGTTGAACTTATTGGCAAGAATGATTCTCAGTTGGATTTCAAGGCTGATATTTATTATTGGTGTTAATTATGGTTGTCAAATAAACGAAGTCGTCTGCGTTTTCAAACTTGTAGCCAAAATGCTTAAGCTCTGACTGTCTGTGTGATGACAGGAGATACTTCGTTTTGTCCTATACTTAAACTAGCTTGAATAAATTAAATTTTAGTTCAGCTTTGACTGGAATTTTCAAGAAAAGTTGTATAACAAAAGCCCTAAATTCGTATTATACATACATATGTGTACATCGAAGAGGGAATTCAGCTGAAATTTCAGCTTTGAAACTTCCAAAGAGCAGCTCCTAAAAATTTTGTGTCTAATTCCATGTTTCTTGCACTTTCTTTTAAACTTTAAACAAATATCCAAACTTCTTGCTGCCTTAAACTTTCTTAAACTCTGCTAAGCGTTGCATATACCTATGTACATACATACATACATACATAAAGTCTCCCCTCCGTTAATTGCGCTATCACGCCGTACAAGTACTCGTCCTGCCATATGCACCTGCTGTTTCTGCGCTAATGAACTTTTTCGCGCACAGCTGGGCCGCCAGTGCCGACAATTACGCTTACAAGGCGGCGTGTCACTACTAAACGAATTACCCGACTGCAGCAGCAGTCATCATTGTCGCCCCAATGTACCAGCGCCGGTCTACGAGTAATCGACCCTCGGCGGAATGCAAAAGCAGCGACATTGTAGTTTAACAAGCATACTATCTACTATACGTCCCGGCTGCAGTTAGAACATGCCACTTGGATTAGTGGAACTAGAATATATGTGCGCGTATGTACCTACGCTTGAATGCACACTGAGACACAAAATAGTATGTACTCGACCCCTTTAGGGGCGTCCATTGTTTGCCGCCTTCATACGACTGACTAACTCGCCTGTTTACGAGCTACCCAAAACGCTTGGCTGCTTCACTGTTGCCTTACCTGTAATTCCAACATTTCCTTGCCCTGCAATTTCGAATTGAGTATTTCCTTTGCGATGCGCTCCTGCAACTCTAATAAATCTTCCGCTTTGATGCGTCCAACCGCGCCGTCTTCGTACGAGCCAGCATTACGGTTTGATTCTTGCTTATTGTTGCTTTTGTTACTGCCACTTCTGCTTGGCGAAGATTTCTGTGTCGCTGTTGCTGGTGGATCCTTCGTTGGTTGTGTGACAGTATCCTTGGAACCCGTCAAAGTTGTTGTTGACATGTTGGTATTATTAACCGTCTGGGTATTGTTCTTGTTGTTGTAGCCATCAACACCGGCAGTTTTATTGGAATTTAGCTGCTGTTGCTGAATGTTGTCTTTGTCTTTGGCTTTGTTGTCGCTGTTGATGTGTTCATTTGTTGTCGAACCAGCTGCGCCGCCTGCAAGCACGTCTAATTGCGTCGTTGTTGATGTTCGGCTTGATTCTGACTTTGTGCTGGTTGTTGTTGTTACAGTTGGCATTGTCGTTGTCGTTGTTACTGCTGATGTTCTACCTGTTGTCGTCGCTCCTACAGCGGACGCATCATCGGCTTGCATTGCCTGCATTTGTTGATTGCGACGCTGATGGAAGCGTCCACCGCCACGCTTGCGCTCCGGATTGCCAGCACCGCGTGTGCCGCGACGGGTTTCTTTTTCGCGCACATCGATGAAGTCGGTGGCGAATCTGCAAAGAGAATAAACGAAACGAATTAGTATGTGTGTTTGTGTGTTGAAAGCAGAATGGAGCGACTTATTGCGATTGGTAGCTACTTCGTCTATGTACATTAGGGTGGTCATTAAGTGTAGGAAGCAAATTTTTACATCAGATTTTTTAGGCCTCAACCCCTACGTCGATGCTACTATAGTCGAAGATATCCCATATAAATTTTAGTCCCGATTGAAGACGGTTAAGGCCTGTCGCATAGGGGGCAAAGTTTAGATTACCCTATGAAGACGTCTTAACTGACTCCAATCGGTACAAAAATTTATATGTGATATTTGTGACCGTGTTTGAGGCGGTGCGACTAAAAAAATCGTTCATTTGAGTTTTTAAGGACCACCCTAATGTACATATGTATTTTTATGCCTGAAATATGCTTCTCCCTCTAAAATTATCGACCCTCTTCTGATTTCTCAGCACCCTACATTTATGCGAGCGACTTTAAAATTCGATTTAATTTTGTTGCAAAATGTTTCTTCGTCTTGCGGGTGAGGGGACAGGTGCGTAGCATTTAAGAGTCATGAAAATCATGTAAAGCCCTCAGGGACACAATATGGCACGACTTTTTGCGTTATTGTGGCATAAACTTGCATAATAAATTCGGTGAGTTTTAACGACCCACGTCGTACGTAATAGAAACGGGGACCGCGACAGGGATACACAACCTAAGCCCACACAACCTAAGCTCTGGCACAGATGCATGCGCTATCAATCTACACACATACATACATACTTACCGGGATTGGTATGTTGTGACATGCCCCCCGCCCCCCAGGAGAACGGCGCGTTTTATGCTTAATTGCATTTGTTTTTTCTTGTTGCACTTTGTTGTGATTACCCGCCCACAATTACATCTGCCCTCAGGCGGCATTTTAAGCAAATTCGCTAGGGCACCCCTTGTTGGCATATGTGCGTTTTGCTGTTGATAAGTGCCAATTGGGGGTGTTGATATTTATCCTTGTTAGCAACAGCAAAGCAAAGTAGCTGTAACTGCGCCATAACAATTGGCAGGGGGTGCTGTGGCAAAGTTCAATGTTTCAGGCGTTGCTTACATTAAACATATGCATGTGTATGTATGTATTTATATAAATATGTATGTGGAAGTGTGCTCTCCCATTCTTGGCAAAGTTTATGTGAATGGGTACCTAATCATATTACCGGATATAAATTAAAAGTACAAGTTTTCCATTAAATTTTTTTTGTGTTAACAATTAGCCACAAATGTATTAAATAGGCGTTATGAAAGGGGTGACTGCCGAATGACTTACTCGCGGGAATTTGAGATGAAAACAAATTAAAAATATTCCAGATTCTTGGCTGCTTTGACTTTGCTGGAAACATGTTTAAGAAAGCTCAGACATGTTATAAATTTTTACTCATTAAAAATTATGCACGTCGCTTAATTTCATAGTACAACTTCTGTTAGTTAAACATTTTGTAATCTTTCTATTAGAGAAGTTACGGAGGCATGTTACCAGCCTTGGATTTACATTAGGTGCTTTTGGAGCACTTGCAAAGGGCGGCAGATTTTTGGAGGTGACAAATTTTGCAACATAAATTCAGATAAGTGCAGACACTGTGCCTAAAACTATGCCACAAAGACGCATTTTGTACAAACACCATTTTATTTCGTCCAATTATGCCGCAACTCCACCACATTGTAATGTTCGGGACCTCTTTGAAATTTGTAAAAAATTGAGACCTAGTACGCCAGTTTCTTAGGAGGAAATCCAAAATTTCCGTTTTTACCGCACGCGTAATCCCTGAGAAAATTGATCTAATACTTTCAACAAATAAAACAAAATTGTCTGATTTTACTGAACCAAAGTTCAAGAAACGGAATTGGATCTGTGAAACAAGTTGAAAGACCTTGAAGTCATTCCGGATGCCAAACTTAATTGAAGGCCAAACATTGAGCAAAGAATTTCGCACTGGATGTATACAGTTACAGTCCGATCTATACTCTCCTATGTAGTTAAAAAACTAAGCGGAATTGAAGGGTGGGCAGACGCTGACGTAATGGGTGCAATGAGATCCTGTCCGTAGGATGTTTTGGACCTTCTTCTTGTTTTATTGCCGATAGATGTTTGTATTGAAAACTCAGCTGCTAACAGCGACATAAGACTGCATGCCTTGGGGCTCTGGCAGGAAAGACCGTTGAAGGCTGGCACAGTGGTTTCATGTAACCTAAAGTTATCGTTTAGCCTGCCAGACTATACAAGCGTTTTCCAGGCCAAAACGTTTGTAATTAAGGAGGCAGTAAGGTAAATCAAAGAGAATGTACCCGCTAGATGGCAGGTGGATACATTCTTGCATAGCTAAGCGCACTCTTTTACCTCTGCTAGATCTCGACTAGTGGAGGACCGGTAGGAGAGAGCTGCCCTTCTAATCAATATGAAATTACCATAATATGGGTCCCGGGACATATGGACATTTATGGAAACGAGGTAGCGGATCTACTAGCAAGGTGCGGTTCCGCACTTATGTCCCGCGCGGTGAATGGCCTATACAGGGAGATAAAAGCAAAAATTACCGAAATGTATCATTTGAAGGCCAGACAGGGGTGGAACCGTACAGGATCGTATAGGATTGCGCGGCAGTTCTGGATATCCCACGGCCCACTAAAAACCAAAGCTCTCTTAGGAATGAGAGATTAGATGGGCACGAAAACTTCCTGTGCGAGCGTACAGCCCTCGCAAGGATTTGGCTAAAGACACTCTGCCAACCATTCCTGCAGAATATTTCAAAGTGCAGCTGCCTCCCTCTGTATGACGTACTGAAATTCATTAAAGCCGCCAAATGGCTGTGATTGCATAAGTGGTAGAATTAAATTGGCAAACTGGCTAATTTCTCCAGTTTTGTTTAACTATTAAGGGTTTGAACGAACTTTGAAGTTCCATTGCGTGATTCCTTCATCTACAGATGAATTAGTTACAAAACCATACTCTTTACACGAAGAGTCAACAGAATTAAGAGTCATGAAATAAGGATATTTTATTTTTTGGTGTTAAGATGAAATCTATACAATTGGCATAAGCCGAGATATACCGATTTGAGTGAGTATATGTTTTGCCGGATTCATGAAAATATCCAAACTTTGACAGATCATATCTCCGAAGAAAAAAAATAAATAAACCGAGTTTGAAGCAAATCGGAAGTGTGTGGAACAAAATCCGTCATATTGCTTGCTGATCGATTACCCAAATGACAACTGAATATAATTTACCCACTTATTAGCCAGTGAGCAATAACGATTCACACAACAATGGATGAATGAGGGTATTATACTTGGAGCCAAATTTTGGATGAATCTCCCCACTTTTCGTAGGACGGGCACTTCGAAATCCTATTCACTTCGTCTGTTTCGCAATTATATAAAATATTACCCCGGTTAATAGCTATTGGTAGATGCCACTTCGGCTTGCTTGGTTTGTTTATTAAATGTAGTAAATATTTAAAAAAAAATAAAATAGAAATATTTCCTTATTGAACTTTAAGAATAAAATGTCTTTCTTATCTCAGTTTCTTGAATATGATCCCTTACGAAACATTATCAGTAACATCACTTCTAACAAACCACTGTTATATAAAAACCTTACAAATTTCTTTAGAAACATAAAATAATACGAGCTGATATAATGTGAAACTTGCATATAAAAGAAAAGCTTATTTTTGAACTGCTAATTTTAACATTTTAAATTGCCAAATTTTCCGGATATATGATAAATACATACATGGCATATAGTACAAATAGACTTAAACTCAAACAGCTTAAGGTATAAAATTTAAACTACATAAACCGAGTTTTACGAACGATCAAATCAACCTTAAAAATTTAGAAAACGTACAAAACCAAAAAAAAAAACAAAGATAACATGAAACTAGTTCGACTAAGTTTTGCAACCACACTACTTGTCTTCGCACAACTTTTCAGCTGCAACTTTACATTGTTTCAGCGCAAATCACAAACAATTTGACACGCAGCAATGACGATGGCAACAATAAGAGAAGAAGGGTCGTAGACTTTTTTGTACAGAAAAGGACAACTGCAATTTTACAGCCGTGCTGCTGCAGCCACATACCTAAATACTCCAGCACTCACACTCGCTGAGCTTATCAAAATTTCCACACGCTTGCCTCGATGGGATAGAAAAGCAGCAACTGATCCCTCTATCCACTCTTATGGCAAACAACCGCAATCACTTCAGCAAATTAACACCCAACTCCTGCTCTGCAGTCGTATTCACTATGAGCATTAAAGCAATATGTTCTGGGTGCGTAGCTATTTATTTGCCATTTTTGCCACATTCCACACTGCCAAGGAAAGTTCCTCTGGTAACATCAGGTTAAGTGCCTGGATTTACGAGTAAGTTGGTATCTATACCTAAGCAACATTACTTACAGTTTACCCTAAATGCGTTCGCACGAGCTGAGGCAAAGTCAAAATAAAAATTAAATAGAAGTTTGTAATAAAGTAAAAATTAGAATAAAGAGAGTGCAAGTGCGATAGAAAAAAAACCCTTCCACTTTCAGGGTTATAGAACAAGAAGTTGGGCTGCTCGCGAGCTCATACATACACTCGGCAAGCAAAGCGGCGCTCCTCGTTCTTAAAGCACACGAGGTTACCTCAAAGCTTTAATACTCATCGCCTCCAGGAATCGGGTATACCCCATATGTGCACCGGGACACAGCAGAGTTATGGGCCATGAAGTGGCAGATATTTTTGCCATTACCGGTCCGCCAAAGAGCTCTGTTAGCGAAACTACTATATCTGGATGAAGACCGAAGCGATTGTTAGCAATACGTGGATCAAAGATGACCTGTGGTTGAGTAGTGGTTTGCTGCAATATATCGTTTCGGTCGCGGTAACTAGGTGACCTGGTCCCTAAATCTAACCTAATATTATCAATAGATCAGTAGTAATAACTACATATCAACGAACAAGTGGAAGATCGGCCTTTCTC